GCAATGGAATATTTTATTGTGCTAATTTTTAGGTTATTTAATAACTGCAGCATTATGAAACTGAAACTGGGATTTCCTTAGAGTAATATAAYAACACATTATACAGAATGCAGTCCAGAAACATGACTTATATCCTGATTAAACGACAAATTGTTGTGCCAAGCCTTCCTTAAAAAGCCCCTTGGAACATGTTTTTATTACTTCTGAGACACTTTCRATTCCTGCTGGTATTTTTTTTCTCTTCACAGCACCTTTAAATGTAATCAAAGAGGATTATTTTTCCTTTGTTGTAGTGTTGCAAATTAGCACCAGGTAAAAACCTGACTGTAGCCAAAAAATGATGCACAATAGATGTCTACTTTCAAAATGAAGCTGAAGAGGACAAGTTGAGGTTTCTTTAGTCCCCCCAATGAAAACATTGATTCTTATTAGTAAGGGCAGTCAGCTATAGTATGCGCAAATCCTGAGCTTTTTTGTTGYTGTTTATTCAACTAAATTATGTCTTTAAATTTGCAGACTAAACTTACGTTTAGCTTTGAAGGGTGAAATTACAAGTGGGAAAGAAAAAACATCAAGCATTCAGCTTCATCTACTRATCAAGGGTGCAATCTCTGCATGTTATTCTGCATAGGGGCGAAGATACTGTGTTGCTCCAAACTGTCACTGCCCTGGAATTTAGGATTTTCAACTGACAGAGAATCTTGGGAGAGAAATTAACCTTTTWTGTTTGAGTTGTTAGCAGTCTGTTGGCCTTTTCTCTCTAGCACCAATGCCTGGTAATTGTTTCTCTCAGTTTCGTTTTTTGGGTTTTGGTTGTTGTTTTTTTTCATACATGTAGAGAACAGTTGAAACATTTTTCAGGAATTGTCAAGTATTGTACTGGTACAGTACACAAGAGGCATTTCTGCTGTTGACAGTCAAACATTTAATGTGTAGCATTTGAAGACCAGTAATTTTCTCAAAAATGTATTGCAGCAATTGCAGTTGACTATATCCTGCAGATTGTGAAGCTAAGCCRTATTTTAGGACAAGATCTCTTTTATTGTCTTAAGTTGCTTGTGTTTTTTAACTTGTCTGCCCCTCCTCCTCTCTCAAATCCCCCTCTTCTAGAAACAAAGACTTGTTTGTTCCTGCTCTGCCTGTGAGGTCTTTGCAGCCTCCGCTGTGTGGGTGCAGAGCCCCTTAYTTAAATGTTTTCTGTAGCCATGGAAGGTAAGGAACAGGATACATTAGAAAACTGGTGAGTCCTAGCTAACATCATGTTTAATGTAAAGATGATAAAATGAAGCTCTTCGCCTTTGAAATCAAACTATTTAGAAAGAGCTATGTGTGTCAGGATCACAAGTGCATGAGGTGTAGAAAAATCTGCTATCTGAAATCACGTTGATAAGCATAATCTTTAGAGTGCAGATTTCTGCTGTTKTGTCCTGGTAAGTATTAGAGAGTTGGAATGTAAAAAGAAAAAAACTATCCACAAAACAAGCAAGCAAAAACCTCTCAACCCCAAAGCAACGACAAAAAGCTTTAAAACCCTCTGTTTTTTGCTGTCAGTTGAAACAAGATGTGTTTCCCCCCTTTTTTCATTAAGTATTGCACTGGAATTTATAGAAAATTATGTTCTTCTTTCTGTTTCCCTTGAAGATAGCACAACTGTGTAATCACCAAAGTGAATGAAAATCATGGACTGATAGTACTGTTGGGTTTTTTCACTGGTTCCTCACTTGGATATGTTAAGTCAGTAAAATTCTGTTAGTGCCATCCTCTTCTAATATCCTAACTTTTTGTTGAATTTCATGATTAAAAGTAGTTCACTCATATAAAAAACTTCTGTGATCTTCAAAATCTTATCAATTTGAAGTCTTTAGCACTTTCATTCTTGAAATAATGAAGCATTCAGAAACATCCTTTCAATGGATATCTGAATAATAATAGTAATTTAGATACTGGATTTTTAGATTCAGTTTCTGAATARTTACCAAATCATATCATTAACTTTYCCCCTAATATTTATTGATGAATTATAAGTATACACCRAAATCTCAATGTCTTATGATATTCCTGTTTCAGATGCACTTTTAGTTAGGAACATTACTTTCAAAATTGACATTAGAAGGCACTTTGGGGAACTAGGATGAGGGAATAAAATTAAAAGCAGCAGACAAATGTGATTTCCTTCTTAAAGTTAAAATTGTGAAGTCAGTAGATTAAAAGAATGGAGCAAACAGTGATCAGAGTGAACAAGAATAATACAACCAGCTGTCAGAAAGATACACATATATAACATGAAGAGCAGGAAGTGGCATAAGCAGGAGATACTTACAAAGCTGCCTATTTGTGGAAAAGAGATACTTGTATGGTGCATGCAGGAAAAACAAATTCATAGCATGTTGAAGGAATGTTAGTGATATTGCAGTGAAGTGTTTAACTGAGGTTAGACACTTAAATTTTTATAAGGTTATCTGTAACATGACTTGGCTGTGAACTACATTGAGGTAGGACTGAAGCCATGATTATATGATTGGGGACTAGACTATAAATGCAGCTTTTTTAACCAAAATAAAATTGTAATTTTTCAGCTTTGGGTAATTATTTTTTAGAAGGTAGCTTGCTTTTAACTTAGATATGCTCATTTCAGGTGATTGTAAATTTCTGATTTTTCTCCCTCTTAAGTTTACATGTAATTGTCCTTCCATCCTGTTTAACAGCAGGGTTTAAATCCTGGAACTTCTGAGGGGTAACACAGACTTTAGATAGGGTCACAGAAACTAACAGCAGGAGAAGGCTGTTTTCTATTGTCCCCTATGAASACCTTCATTTCTGCTTTTAAGGTGAAAGAGGGTAAGGCATATAAAGCAAAAAGCATGGTCCTGGTTCCAGATTTGAAGAGAGAGAAAGGAGGAGATCTATTCCCCACTCCAGCAGTGTCATGTAGCTTGTCTAAAACTGCTAGATGGGATGCCTTGCTTTTTGTATGGTTTTCCCTAGCTTCAGCTTGGCTTCATCTTTGGTAAATGTAGGTAGTCTCACTGCTGTCAGGCTTCCAGCRAATATTGCCCAGTGGAGATCCTGGAACTTGTAGTTAAATGTTCAGTGCCCACATCCTTACAGGACTGATGTTGATGCTGTTGGAACTTTTGTCTAACAGTTTCTAATATGTTGAGGCCAATCTTCTCAGAGACCACAGCTCACGTGGCAAAGGGCTCACTCTGGTCACCTTCCTTCCTGAAGTTCAGTTCTGATGGTGAAATAGTGCTGGATGTCCTGTAACATCAACTGCTTGACTTTAGGCTTTGATCCACCCTAGCGTCATTTTCCCACTGTTTTTTTTCATGCGGTCAGGATGAAATCTGTGGGTTGGAGCTGAACTTCAGCCCTAGGTATTCACTCTGTTGTTTCTGCTTGGTATTGGGACCCAGTTTCTATTCCTACTTCACAGGTTCACTTACCTTCTTATTAGTGATCATATGTCTAAAATTCTTTCACAAGTAACTGCATAAAATACTGTTTCAAATCACTTTAAGGTATTTGACAGCATTTTACTTTGACTGGACTCATGAAAATGTGACCCTTCTGCCCATTAGACTGTTGACTCTGTGCTGGACCAGTGGATTAGACTGCCAAGTTGGGTCTCTAACTGGTTTAGTATTATGTGATAAATATACGAAGGCTTTCTTGGAACAGAAAAACAACACTACTGTATCTTAAAATGAGCACTCAAAAGACAGTGGAAAGTGAAGGGCTTTCTAGTGAAAAGATGATACAGATTCTCTATGAGAGAATTTTCCTTTCTTTTGGTAGTTAGAAATGTTAGTATTTCAGGAACCCTCTATATGATGAAAACATTAATTCACACTAATTCTACAGGTGATTTTCTTTGCCCCAGACCACATTGTCATCCTAAAAGAAGCTCACTCCATTTTTTTTTCTAAGTTTCTGTAAACCATAATCCTCATTCAAAGRAAAAAAAATCCCTACCATTCTCCCATCATTGCAGAATGTTCATTACTGTGAATGTTAACAGATTCAGTCTGTTACAGRCAACACGATGGAGAGCTAATTCCAAACTGAAAGCCCCTGAAAATAGTGCCCTTGCAATACAGTCAGCCTTTCCCACCCTCTGTTTCACCCTGGGAACTCCAGTGCCTTCTGTTGACTTTAACCATACTGGTCTCATGTCAGGGAGAAATCAGGCCTGTCGGGTAGATGCATCCCAGACATGTATTATTTTATAAAACAAAATTGTCTTGGCCTTGCTTTTATGGGGGAAGGGAAGATGGGTTCTCATTGTGCATTATGCCTACAAGGTGATGTTGTTTCTTGTCCACTTMCCAGGAAAAATGCATTGCATACTTTTGAGGGGTAAAAGAAAATGAAGYGCTAGTAAAATGTTTTCTATGTTGATGTCACTATTTTTGGATGTGTAATTTATCTGCCATTTCTGTACCAAYTCTAATTTTGCCTGTCAAGAAGCTCTAAATGGAGTCTCTAACACTAAAAACTTAATGTGACAAGGGTGTGAATGCTTGTTGCATGATCTTGCACCACAGTGGGTAGCCTTTAATTGTTTTCAGTATAAGTGGGATGATCCGTTTTGTCATTTTGTGTCTTCTCAAGTTTAATGATCCTAAGATTTCATATGAATAAAACAAGTTRTTTACTATTTGTGTCTGAAATGAGAATAGTTTATTAGAAAGAAGAGAGATCCTTCTAACTTCGCTTGAAATATTTTACTACTACTTTTGAATTTTTTGCCAGTGGGCACGTTTAGTTGTTTCCAGAAGCTTTTAGAACATGTAGTCCTAAACATGAGATTATTGCGTTAATTTTAGACACATCAGTTGCTCACATGTGAGCATCCATTTCACACTCTGGCCATCAATGTAACTGCGTGTTTTTTACTGTCATGCCTTGAAATTTTGTAAATTTTTTCATGGATAATACTTCCTTATGTGTATTTGTTTGAATTTAATTTTTAAACATTTATTGTTTTGGTTCCTTAGCCATGAATCAACGAATCAGCCAAAGTGCTCCTGTCAAACAGCCACCTCCTTTGGCTCCTCAGAGTCCCCAGGGTGGTGTGATGGGTGGTAGTAGCTCCAATCAGCAACAACAGATGAGACTTCAGCAGCTACAGATGGAGAAAGAAAGGCTGAGACTGAAGCATCAAGAATTGCTTCGGCAGGTGAGGCCACAGGTTAGACACCTACTTCCACTATTTCTTTTGTATGTTTGTTTTGATTTTTCTAAGTTGTTATTTCAGKGAGTCTTAAAGACCAGTGACTACAAAAAACTTTGAGATCTAAAAAGGTCTGAATTCATTCTCTTTATTGATATCAGCTTGGTGGTGAAAGTGTCTGATTTTTTAGACCGAAAGATTTTGCTTTCCTCTCTCATTCCTCCCTCTAACGAAACTCTTYAAGAACAGGCTTCATAAACTGTAAGGATGACAACATGGACTGTTGATGTGATTGGATRTTCCTCCTGAGGATGTTTCATATTCATTGAGTTCCAAGTCTTGCAAAAAGTTATTTCCCACAGCTACTTTAGTTCTCCCTTTTAAGAGGAGGAAAGTCTTCAGTTTTAGAACCTGTTGCAGTCAGTAGGATTTTGAAGTATTTTAAAAGTTTATATAATATACATTGAGGAGATGCCTTGTTGCCAAAATCTTACCTGTTCAACAGTGGAGTGAGCATGGAACAAATGAATCACTTATGCTGCATTTTGAACSTGTGGTTTTCTTACGCTGAAGAATTTCAAACTTTATAATAAGGCTGCAAGCTGTGCCTTTCAATATTTTCTAMTCTATTAATATGGCTGTAGCAAATATTAAAGGGTAGGACTGGACTTTGGATTCTTTGGATTGGAATTTGGGCTTGATCTCCTTTTCACTCTAAGCCTGCTCTGATTGTTCAATCTGAATGTTTTAAGAGTTACTACCATCTGTACAAGATAATAGGATATTTCTTCGGGATTTTGGCACTGCCAGAAAAAGCACTAATTTTTCTTTGAGGAAACCTTCTAAAATCTTTCCTTTTTCACTTTGGGTGATGGGCCTTGTATCAGAAGAGGATAATGTCTTAATGTCCTCAAAGACAGCTTTTCTCTTTCTTCATCACCTGCAGTATTCTGTCCTGGAATCTGACTCCGTTATTCCCTTTGTAGTCAAGGACTGTTTTGTAGGAATCTTCAGCATCTCTTGGTGTAAGATGGGTCATCTTTACAGCCATTACTTTTTGTAGTACTTTAGGTAAAAATACATTGCAAAGGTGGCATCAGGATTTTCTCTCGCTTAAGCACCTGCACTTCTGCTGTTCCTGCTTTGCAATTAATCCACAATAAACATTTTACCCTGTGCTAGCATGCTTCTAGGTAGGCCKTCTAATTATCTTGCCTCAGTTGTCATTGAGAATCTGACTAACTTTGGACCAGGTGACAACCAATTCTCTTCATGTTGTTCTCCCTAGTCATTAAGCTTATCTGTCAAATACACATCCTTGGTAAATCTGTGAGTTTTGTTTCACTGTATCATGATTTTCATAGTTTCTTAACTCCCTTATCCTGTCTCATCTGGCCTGTCTCGGGGGCTTGATACTACAAGATGGTGTTTATAAGACAGCCTGCATAGGTAAACCATGCAGCTAAAGTAATTTTTATCCATCTTATTTTTACTCTTAGGCATTGCGGAATATCAATCCCAGCACAGCCAATTCTCCAAAACATCAGGTAGGCTCTTAACTGATGTTTCAGCATAATTAGAAAAATGAAAGCATTAAATTAGGTTAGCAGGGAACTTTTTGCTACATGAAAKCATTTGAAAAAAAGAACAAAACAAACAAAAAACCAAGCTCTGCCATGCCCATTTTGAACACTTTTCTGTTCATGGCCCTAACACTGTTTTTAGGAGTGCTGCCTTACCACAACTTTATATCAATATTTAAGAGCAAACAAGGAATTCRTTGGACATTTTTTGACATTGAAAACAACCTTCTTGTTCAGCATTCTTGAAGATACTGCTGTTCCAGTCCTGATGTCATCAAGATGTTTATTTAAAGCAAACTATCTAAGGTAGTAGTTGGTGACTTGAAGTACTGTTCGTATGAATGTTCTTATCAGTTTGTTTAAGCAGGTATRATCTCAAAGAAGGATATCTGTAATCGGTTAATAAAAAAATCACTTGAAATAGTTATGATTTTTAAGCATGCACAGTGTGACAGAATTACTTAATAGATTAGACTAACCAAATAATGGCTATGCAGATGTAATTTTTCCATTTTGACATTTAACTGGCTCTTGCACAGATACATTTTCTGTATAGGGAGCAACAACTATAAAAAGSCTTTCGAGCTCAGACCAAAATAAAATTGTTCAAAATGTGAAGCTTAATAAACAGGTTAATGTGGTCTTCTTTTAGTTGCTGAAGTGGTTGAATATAGAATGAATCTCTGAAAGAGTGGATTTATGGATATATTCAGTGTTTTAATCTACCAGTTCTTAGTACAATATTTATATTGGCTWGTACTGTACTTTGTTTTTTAAGAAAAATCCCTCTATGCACAAGGCAAGAAAAACAGAATAAAAGAATAAAAGAAAGTATCAAATATCCTGTGTTTGACAGCTGTGAGTACACTGTTGCATTCTGAAGAATACCACAAAATTTGTATGTTACTAGTCCTGAGAAATAGGAACCTTAGATCTTAGTGCTGAYACCCTCAAAAAATACTTTCTTGTTTGGCAATACCAGAGCAGCTCTTAAACAGAAGCATTTTAATTGAGATGTGGTAATTTGATTCATTTAYAAGCATTAACCACATAATGATCTTGTCAATCAATATTGGATCCTATTCTGGAGGAGGAAAGAAAAAGTTCTCAAGAATTGTAGGTATACAAGAGAATAAACAAAGGAGGACTCCTCCACACCAGTTGAAAACACCTTATCKTCTGGCATAATTAGGTCATTCGTGAGGGATGTTTTTCTTACTGACTGCCAAAAGTGTATTCTATGTTCTCTTGTATGCCTGAAGCTGTGTCATACCATTGTTCATCCTTACACTAACTTCTTCTGTTGCCAACTCAGAAAAATTCAGGAAATGGAGAAGTTTGTTATCAGTTTCATACTTAACTTTATAAGATGAGGTTTTTAGAACTTCATTAAATTCTGGCTTTAAATCCTAAAAAACTATGAAAACTCAAAGGGGCTACCTTGATAATTCATTAAACGTATACGTAGTGATCATTCTGTTTTATTTACGAYGGAAACTGATGAAAGGATTTATACAAAAATCAGGATTCCCGTTRCATTTAAACTTGCTTCGTACCATACGTCCTGCCTGGGATCAGTTTTTTCAGTCTGCACTTGTTAATGGGTCAAGGTGTGTTTCAGTGATCTGTTTGGAAGAAGAGTGGGCAATCATTTCATCTCTAAAGATCTATAATACTAGATTATTTATGTTGTACGATCTAAATGTATTTCTTGTGTTTTCATGTCTTACCTCAGTAATGTAGTGAGCAGCCACAGGTGGAAGAAAGTGCTTAGAGAACTTCTTCTAGGTTCTGGTTCTCTAAATGCTTCTTCTGGCCTTGTATTGTAGAGGGCAAATGTAGTCTGTCTTCTCTGATGCTGCTGTTGTTGCAGTCCCAATCTGTACATCTTATCAGGTCACAGTTGACCTAGTGAATCTGAAAAATATAGAGAAGGAATAAAAAATTCTTTGTTCAACTTTTTTCTTTCTGACAGATCTTTSTTTTTGAATTAAGTTAATGATGTTTGGAGGAATTACCTGCTTTCCTGATGATAAATCTGTGCTTGGTGGCAGAGTTATAGCTTCTCTTGCTAAATTTTAGATGTTGTTTTAAGGAATACTGAAAATAAAATCTTCGTATGTTCAGTGCTCTTAATTCCAGGAAGGCTAAGTCTGTTTTATAGAGGGATTGTCAAGGTCTTTCATTTGTAAAGAAATGATGTAACACCAGCATTCTTGAAGCTTGCCTCTAATGGAATATCTGGTTTAGATAGATAAAAAAAATCAGAGAAATATCCTTTAACTTCTAACTGGATCTCTGAGCTTTTCATGTCACACAATCAGAAGGGATTAGTGGAGGTCATCTAGCCCAACATCCTCATCCTTCTTGACATTTTTCTCCATGTAGCCTAGATACAGTACCATGATTGCATTGATACGTACAGTCAGTTTTTTTTGTTACTGAGTAACCATAGTGTCCTTGGCAGTTTTTTTATCTCTCTACCATTATACTGTAGTGTCCTGTTGTGACACTAACACTCCAGGTGTTATGTATGGAAGCCTTAGCACCTTCTGGAAAAAGTAAACAATTGCTCAGCTTCATCTTTTTTAGCAAGCACACGTTCTTCTTGTTTGAACGAGGGTGTATTTTACTGTAATTCTAAAAATGTCGAAGGTACCTAGAGCAAAAGTCATGACTTTCAAACTTACTTTGTATAAGCAAGAACTATTGATACATCCAGGAGATTTGAAAACACCAAGCATCTGTTCAGTTGCTTGTGCTCATCATTATCAGTTATTTGTGAAACCTTAAAGATGCCTGTCTTAGTTAAGAGATTGAATGACTCGACTTGCCCTCCATCTGCACTAGCTCTCCTTCCGTTTTCCTGCAGTTACTATCTGGTTGTTAACAATTTCTAATGTAGAGCAGATGTCRATCAAATTTTGTGTATGTAACAAAATTGAACAGGTGTGAAGTAACAGATTCCTTCCCTTACAGTGTGCTGTGGATAGAAATAGAGGCAAATAATGTTGAGGTACTGATGACATTACATTTGGATGTTGTGCAGACTACTTTCTTGTGCTATGAATGGAAGATTTCTTAATTACCTGCTGCTAATATTAGAGTATTTGCTAGTAAGATCAGCATACTACACATTTATGAGACAAGTTCGTCTGTATCTGCTTCTTGTTTCTAAGCTTTACAGTTCAACAAAATAATYGTGTTGCTTGCTAATGTATGTAGATATTTATAGATAGATACCTTGTTTAAAAGTCTACACAGTAAATTAGAACTGCATTCACTAGCTATGSTAGTTGTCATGATTGAAGCAGTGAATGGTACGTTTTCCCCTTAGTCTTCACAAATTGCCTAACTTCTCATTGCTTAGCTCATTTGTCTTCATCTGTCTTCCCTGTTTCTTTTGTATATGTGCTGTAACTATGGGCCTCACTGGTGGCCCCAGCTGGTGCTGTAAGTCTGCCCGTAAGTGTTGTGGTCTTCTCGTTCCCCTAAAAGTTCTCTCCCATCCCAGGGAAGTCTGTGAATCATTTGCAAGTTGAGCAGTGGCTGGAGGTAAAAATGTTACATTTGGCACTTTAAAAATAAATTTACATAACCAATTATCAGGATATATCAAGTTAAATTGAGTAGCATATCATAGGTTTAATACAGTGAGAATATAAGTGAGTGGCACAAGGGAGTMATCTCCCTTTCCTCAAAAGCCTGTAAAGATAAAAATGCTCTGAAAATAGTATTTTTATAAAGTTAATTTGGACGAGATGTGAATGACCTGTAACTTCATCTAAAACTTAATCTGTATGCAATTATGAAAAAAAAATGTGGATGAGGTCAGCCAGATAAATTACACAGTACTGACCTTATTTTTAAAATTATTTAAGGAGATGACAGATCATTTTGGTCTCTGTGTWATAATCAAAATTCAGCTTTTGTGTTAACAATAGGAGTAGTAAGCTTTTCTTTTCCCAGAGGTACTTAGAACAAGTTTGACATACTTAGAAAATAGGATGAGATCAATTCATAAAAATCTAAGCCAGGATTTTGTCATGGTTTTATTTCTGCCTCCAGACTTTAAATACTTCTAATAAAGGATCTATTTTAGCAGGAAATAAAAGCCTAGAGTTCACATTGCGCTGTTTGAAGCTGGGAGAGGCTTGTGCACTCCCATACATTTTTTTAAGTATAGCAAGCCTACAACTTTTTTATTGCAAACAGGTTTGTAATGAAGGAGAAATGAAAAGACCGTTCTTCGAGCAACACAACTTCAGCTTATTATTACATTATATACATTCATTATATATACCTTTCGGGAAAAATMATCTTAACACACTCTTTAGGCCTTTAGGAAACTTCATTTATCTTGTAGAATGATTAAAAATTGCCCTGTATTTGTTTCTCAATAGCTCATCTTTTTTGGTAATTATTTTCTCTTTCAGACTCCCAAAATGACRTAAATTTATTACTTAGATGAGTAATAACATTCTTTTGAGGGGAAAGTGCTTCTGACTCCTGAAAAAGTAGCAGTAATACTACTTATAAATATTCAAAAATAGTTGCAGTTTTGCATTTTTTAGCGATGTTGTTGAAACAAAGATAAAAGTAGTACTAATTTTAAAAATACTAGTTTTACTACATATTACATGCCTAAGAATTGGCAATATACAGTTACCACTCCTGGTTTAATACATCTTTTTTTTTAATGGGCTTTTAGTGAAATGAGGTTTTTTTTTTTGTTTTATTGTCTGCGTACCATGTCTTTTTACCATACTATTTAAGTTCATGTATTGATGAAACTTCAACATCTCCTACACTTTAGGGATTTAGAAAAATACAAAGGTAGCTTCCCTGTGTTTTCAGATTTCTTTTTCTTTTTTTCTTAAGGTAAGAGAACAGAACTTGTGGGTTTTTTTCTTTCCTGGTGTCAGTAGATATTGTAAAGGAGACGTGTATGGATTTCTTATCTTCCTCACTATTGAATCAGGAGGCTGATATGAAGGACCACACAAAGGAGATGTAATGTTAGTTTAGTTCATACGCAGAAATGACTCCATGTAGGTTTTGCTTTGTTACCACTCTTTGTGCCACTTGTGGTGTGGGATCAAGCTGCTTCTGCAGTCTACTGGCAGTTTTGGCTCTTCCTCTTCATCCAAGTCAGGAACTGCAGCCCAAGGAAATAAGGATGTACAGATCAAACAAAGAGGGAAGGGGAAAAGGACAGAGCCTGTGGTTGAGCAGTTCTTGAGCCATCTTTGGGATGGCTGCTCAGACCTTCTGCCTTCTTCAGATCACTGTTTGGGAAGCATTCGAGGAAAGAATGCTTTTTTTCTTTCTTTTTTTTTTCAAGTGAATCAGTCTACCTGTATATCAAGTATACAAGGTTGCAAACTTAGCTGTGAAGTAGAATGTGATTGTATAGGCTTTGCAGTTGGGCTTATTACATAAGCAAATGAAAATCATATGGATATAGTCTTTAGAAATTACTAAAAGATGCCTTACAACATCCTGTGATCTGAAAATGGGGATTGAGTATTACTGTTGTTTGTTAGAACAGTGGCCAAGTAAGTGGTGATGAGCAGAGGACTGGGTTTACTTGGACTAGTAATTGAGTGTGATGAACACAAAAACCAGCAGTATGCTTGTATACTTTCTGGAAAGATCTGCAAAGTCAACTGTAGTGAGAAAATTTTCTAGTGCAAAATATAAAACTTGAAGGAATGAGTAGAATRGTAATCCACAGGAATGGGAGTGAAGTATACGCATATTAGAAAAGAAAAGAAAACCAGGCAGTAGGGAAGCTTCAATATTTGACACAGTCTGCTGGAAATAAAATATCCTTAGGTTTTCTTAAGAAGAAATCACTTTGGAGAATTGGAGAAAAGCTATTTTTATATATTAAAAGACTACAGTACAGTAGTCTATAGGCTTATCATTGAAAATGGATGAAGACCTCTCATTTTACAAGTGAGAAACACTGAGTTATTGTCAAGACTGGCAGGGTTGGTTTTGCCTGAGATTATCTTCCCTGGCACAGCATGGAAGTCACATATTGCCAATAACAGTAGCAAGATAGTCAATAGATTTGCCAGTCTGTAACAAAGCTCAGTCTTGGTGAGACACTGATAATGTCTGAGTAGAGYTACTTGAAGAAAATCACTGTATTTTATCCACATGTAATTCGTGGATTACTTGTTTGAAAGGGGATGGGATCACTGGAAATTACATCAAATGTGCTTATTTCCATCCACCTTAAATTTAATGTATTTTATATTGAAACTTACTTTCATCAATTAGTAATGACAAGCTTTATGGATGGTTTGATTCAAGCTGGTGAACATTCAGATGTGTAAAAAATTATATGCAATCTAGGTTTGTAACTTCAGAAGTGCAATGTCTTGGTCTGACTAAGAAATCTCTTGAAATTTGAAGAGCTTTGAGATTTTCTTGTGGGGCTAATCACTGATTTGATCAGTCAGAAATTTCAAATGCATGCCTCAAACAGGAGGAGTGAATGGGAACTTTTAGGGTAAGACTTGAGAGTTTCCTGACTGAAACAAGAAAGGTACAAGAGGAGCCAGGAACTAAATTAGAGTCAGAAAGAAATTGGGATAAAATGYTAATTAGCTGACCAAAACAGGTTGTTTTAGGGGTCTAATAGCATTAACAAATCATGTTTTGGTCTTAAGTATAGACTTAGCAGAAGGATACTGAAGTGGACCAGAAAATATTTGTGTAAAAATACAGATACTTATATCCATAAACACATTTACAATGCAGTCTCTGGAACGTTGGGCATAGCTGCTGGAACTTGCATTTTCATTGCAGCCAGTACAGATTCTTGCTTTGTCCTCAGAAACTTTAGTTTAATTTCATTTAAYTCTTGTAACTGGAAGCAGTAAAAGCATCAATTATCTATAATGTCATGTGTTCATGTGTCCAAAAAGTGCATTCAAATGCCTAATATGATCTCTCTTTCTCCCTCTCTTGCTGTTCTAGGAATTGGCTCTCCGTAGCCAGCTTCCAGCAATGGAACAAGACGGTGGATCTCAAAACCCTGTGTCATCTCCTGGAATGTCTCAGGAACTGAGAACCATGACTACAAATAGTTCTGATCCCTTTCTTAACAGGTTTGTAGGAGTAGCTCCTAGAGGAAAGAAACTTGATTTAAAATTCTGTTTGGTACAAGTAATAGTTTATTTTGAACATCTGTCTGTGCCAAGACCCACAGCTGTAAATGAATCTTTCCTTAAATGGCAAGTCTAGTAAAAGTTGAAGATTAAAAGCTGTCTCCTGTGGGAGGAAGTAGTCTGTTCAGACTTGTAGGAAGGTTTTTATTCAGTCATAACATGTTTGCCTCTGCATAATCTGTTGACTAACAGTCATTTCAAATTACTGACTCAAAGAATTTGTGAATAGCTCACTGTGAGATCAAATGAACTGTGAGGCACATTGAGGATTACAGCTTGAGGTTCATTTTAAGGTTTCTTCATTCACCCCTCCCCTCTGCTTCAGGTATTTAGCAGTATTTTTACTCTGCTAATGTTAGGTCTACAAACAGTGGCATGTTTCATTTTAAATGCTGTATTATTTTGAAGTGGGTATTTTCATTCAAGATTCAGGAYCTTACAGTATAGACTAGTCTTTCATAAAACTTTTTCCTAAATCCCTCTGACTTGAAGTGTTTATTTTGTTGGAAATACTGTTCAAATTACAGCTTGCAAATGCTTCATACCAAACAACAACTTTGGAGAAACTGCTGCAGCTTGACATAGTGATAAGTATTTTGGGTAATCCCTTCAGGAAGATTCATCTCCTACACAGACAACTGTGATTAGAAAACTTGATTTTTTGTTTGAGGGATTATCCTGCATGGAATTCATCCTGTAGGATGTTCTTGTGTGAGCCTCAACTGTGCTGGCCTTGTCGTGAGAAATAGAAGAGATAGACATTTTGAGCCTGACTTCCTATGGGAAGCCTCTGTAAATAGATGATGGTATTGATGTGGTACAGTAACATACAAATTTGGCCTTCTGGAAGGCTGTTGCCATCACACATCATACAGGTCCTCACATCTTTGATACCTGCCCAGTAACCTGAAGGAAATGCATCTTTAGGTTTCARATGGCCATGGCCATGGCAGTGGACTGATGCAGTTTATCCACTGTGAGTCTATACACATGAAATATAAAGTGATGGATCTTCGCCATTAACTAGAAACACGGGGAAAAGCTAGAAAGGGCAAATTTATGTTTTGTAATATTATGGCAGGTTGATATTTACTGTAAAGTGCAAAAAGATACTGCTTGCCTGGTTCATATATGTTTGACTGGGTTGGGTTTCTTTCTGCAGCCCTTATCCCATGCGAAATACTGAAAATCCATATTTGACTTCAGTTCAGAGTATCTTAAATTGCATGTTGGTCTGAACATTTCTCTCCTTCTAGGTTGTTGTATGTGCATCACCACACTTGATTCTGTCATATGGGTATAGGAAAGGGGCAGTTGAATAGTTTAACTAAAGATCTTGTTGATACTCCTTATGTTAAAGTTCAGACTTGAAGAAATGCTCCTTTCTATCTTTATAGGGTGTATATAAAGTTCCTGGTGAAACAGAATGATTTTAGGCCCCRAAGTTATGTATTCAAAGATTAGGTAGCTTAATATTTTCTAATACTTCTATAATAGAAACATTTAAAAAATCTTAGAAAATCACTACATCATTGCATAGTCAAATCTTCTGACTTACTGTCATTGTGGGATATTTGATTTTTTTTGAATGGGATATTGATCAATGCAGACTTCATTAGACTATTTCACCTTTTGTTTTGCCATACTTGTGTATATATTTTTGTCAGTTAGATTTATATTGGTAGYGATGGTAGTTCTCTGTTTAACTCCTAAATTGGTATTTCTTCTTTTGTGTACACATATTTTAACAATTATTAGTTGAAGAAGAATCCACTCTATTTTGGGTAATGCTGTTTTAGTTGCATGTGGTAATTTTGGGCGATGTGACTACTAAATGAACAAATCCTTTTTGAAGAAAGAGGAAATACGTATTAMGGAGTGATTTGAAAAGAAGTGCTGGACATTCCAAGTGTGAGAGTAAAAGCCGAAAAGTCTTCTCCACTGGAGTGATTTAGTTCAGCATAGTCTTAGTTCTGTTTTTAGTATTTTGTCCCATAAAGTAAACCAGCATTTTTGTTCAGAGAAGTTTTAAATAGTTGAATTGTTAGGATTGTATCAAATGTGGTGATTCTATTTTTAAATAAATCTAAAATTTATGATTTAACTATAAAGAAATGTTTGGTTCCTTTCTCGTATGGCAAAGATGTCCTCATGGAATCAAATACATATATGTATGTATGTATGTTTATTTTTTTTTCTTTATATATGGCTGATAGCATTTATATATGGCTGGCATCCAGTGTTGAATAGCTGTTCATAAATTTTTTGGTTCTTCATACTTGACAAAAATGCATGTACTATATACTTCACAATTACATCATGAGGAGGATCAGTATGTCTTCAAATGCTGGTTTGATCTTCATTTGGGATGCAGGATGGAAAATCAGTAAGGATTCTCAGTCAATGCTACCATAACCTGAAGAAAYACAGATTTTGAAACTATTTTGTGGAGACTGAATGTTAGGAAATCAGGGGGAGGCATATTAGGAAATTGTGAGCTTCAGCAGCTGCTTAAGCAGGCCACAGTTTCTTTCTGCCAGCAAAGCTGCTCCACCATGGGCTCCTCTTCCTATGGGGCCACGAGGTTCTGCCATGAGCATTTTCCAGCACAGGTTTTCTATGGGGTCACAGCCTCCTTCAGGCGTCCCCCTGCTCTGGCATGGATCCTTCATGGGCTGCAGGTGAATCTCTGCTCCCCTTGAATTTCCGTGGGATGCAGGGGCACAGCTGCCTCACCATGGTCTGCACCAGGAGCTGCAGAAGAATCTCTGCTCTGGTACCTGGAGCATCTCCTGCTCCTTCTCTTGCACTGATCTTGGAGTCTGCAGAGCTGTTCCTCTCACATCTCACTCCTCTCTCCCATCTGCTGTTCAACATTTTTCCCCTCTTCTTCAATATGTTGTGACAAAGGTACCACCATTGCCACTGATTGGCTCAGCTTTGGGCAGCTGGACTGCTTTGGAGATAGCTGGAGCCAGCTGGCTGGCAGGGGATTAGCTCCTCATGCTGTGCCACGCAGTCATTCCTGCAGATCCCTGCTATCAAAACCTTCTTATATTAACTCAACACGCTGGCCTGCTTCCCCTCCCCATTCCAAATTTTCCACTGCAGTTCTCTTGGTCTTACTTYCTGCACTGGCAGGGGGATGGCAGTAAGAAAGTGAAGGCACATTAAAGCCCCATGCCATCACTTCGGTTAACTGTTCTGTCAGCAAGATCATTCTGAGCGGGGTTTGTTTATAGGATGGCTTCTGTACCAGTATTTGATTTATATTAGGGTGCTCTCTTGCCTTGACATGTGTGACTGAATAAGTAGTAATGCAGCAGTGGGAAGCAACTGAAGAACTGCTAAAGGAGTTCCAACTATTTATAACACTGGTGACCTAAAAATACACTTCAGTGGTTGATTAAACATGGGAACATTAGTTGTTAAAAGTATTTTTTTTTCATCCTTATGGAAGCATAAAAGGGTGCCCCATAATTATTATTCTTATAATCATTATGGACTATCTGATATGCTTTGAAAGGTTTTAACTATGGGTGGGTGTGAAAAGATTAAAACTACGCACAACACAAGTAGGCAGTTTGTAAAAGCTGCGTAAGTATGCTCTTATCAGGTTAAATTGAATCTAAATAGTACGGTTTTAACTGGAAAAGGTCTGCATAAAATAAAACCCAGGTGTCTCATGCAAACAAATGCTTCAGTTTTTTATTAGAATAGAGGMTTTCTCATGGTAGCAATGCTTCCAAAGCCCATAAATTAGTTTAAAACAAGCATTTATTTATTTTTTTTCAGTGCTCTACCCTCATTTTTTTTTCTTCCTTTTCTTCTGTTGCAGTGGAACATATCACTCCAGAGATGAAAGCACAGATAGTGGACTTAGCATGAGCAGTTACAGTGTACCCAGAACCCCAGATGACTTCCTGAATAGTGTTGACGAGATGGATACAGGTCTGGTTTTGTGTACATTTTTAATGCATGTGTTCCAAATACAGTTCCATCCATTTGCAATGAAAACAAGCAACTCTGAAAAGCTGTGATACTTTTTGCATTGTTTTTCTGCATTATTCTATTTCCCTTATTTCTGTAATAGAAATATTATGGTTAGATTTGAGGAAAAAATGTTATTTGTAATCRACTGTATTGGGAGGATAGGGGAGTTGCTCAGAAGTGGTATTGCTCCTGTTTTTGTAAGGAATTTGAATGTGTTTGCTTTTTGAGGTAATGTTGTTCAGAGCTAACAGTAGTACCTCATCCAGTATTGTTAATATTACTGCAGACTATACCTGAGTCAATATTGTCTTTTTCCTTCAAGTGTAAAAATTAAATTATGCAAAGTGACATCAGAGATCTGTAAGATTTGGGTCAGTAGGTGAAAGTTTGAAACAAAGATGTGTTCTTTGTACATCTGCATGCAGTCAAGTTATTTTTGGGTTTTGTGATGGATTTCTGTGAGTCACACTATTTGTAGGATGTGAGAGGTACATGATTAACCTTTAACCAGTTGTCTTGGTATATTGTAGTTTCAGTACTTGCAGTATACTTAATATTCATCTTTCTGTTATAACTAGGTGACAGTATCGGCCAAAGTAACATACCATCCCATCAGAACCGTTTCCCAGACTACCTTGAAGCCATTCCGGGGACAAATGTGGACCTTGGGACACTGGAAGGAGATGGAATGAATATAGAAGGAGAAGAACTGATGCCAAGTCTGCAAGAGGCTTTGAGCTCTGACATCCTTAATGACATGGAATCTGTCTTGGCAGCCACCAAGCTAGATAAAGAGAGTTTTCTTACTTGGTTATAGGGCCTCAGGGAGACTGAATTCTAAATCTGTGAAGGATCTAAGGAGATTAGGACATCTGTATCTGAAGTTCAGAACAAGCCAGTGTGGTGCACTTTGGCTTGTGTTCAGAAAACGTAAATGAACAAATATTCAACAAGATTCTTTGGGTTTGCTCTTCCTTGTCCATCGCTSCTGTTATATATTGCTGACTTTTTTCCACAGTTGACTCTGAAGAACAGACATCTTCTTGATCTTTTTCTATTGCTGTTGCAACTACTGTTCAAGGGGGGCGGGGAGGGATGATGAGCCTATTTTGGATGACGAATGCCATTCCTTTTGTCCTAGTGTGCGCTTGCATATCATTTTATCTAAGTATTCAGATTTGAGAGTTAATTTCTGCATGTCACTGCTTGTAGTTTGCTCAGCTAGTTGTCTACTGCTGACTGTGGCAAGTGGTAAAACATGACATACTGGGGTGACAAGCCAAAAATGATGTATCTGGTCAAAAGAAGTCAATACTGATTTGGATATACGTAAAGGAGAGCTGAAGACTGTTTGGCATTAAGTGTTCCTGCTAGTAGCTCTTGCATTAGCCATGAAGTGCTCTTGTTCATATTTTATGTTATAGTAAATCATGAGTCATTTTACATAGAAACATATATGAACTTTGTTGCCACATACTCTAGCCTAACTTCCATTTGTCAAAAATACTTTTATTATTTTTGTTAGTTGGTTTAACTGTAGCTGTAGGATGGGAAGTAATTATAGGTGTTCTGGGTTTTTTTTTTAATAGTGAAATCTAATTTTTTTTTCTGATTTCACACAGTCTTATTTAAATCTGAATTGTCTGCTTTTTTTATACTTAAACCATGCCTATTGTAGCCTAATAAGCTAGTGAGTACATAAACCAGTATGTTTTGCCTGTAACTTTTTTTTTAAAGGCTAGCTTTGAATGTAATCATTAGATTCATGACCAGTGGCTTATTTTTCATGTGTATTTGCAAGACTTTGAATTAGAATCTAATAACAGCAATGTAAAAGTTAGAATCCTGTGTCATATGTACAAATTTTAAATGCATTTTGGAGTAGCAGAACCATTTTAAAATTACATCTAATCTCTCTTCTGATTTCCAATTTTGGTGCCTAAATGAGTTCAGATTATAAAATCCTTTATGGGAAAAAATTATAAGAAATTTCTCTTATGTTGGCACGGACAAAAAGTCTGAACTATTAATATCACTCTGCGTTGCAATGAAAAGGCTAGAACACCAAAAAACTCCTCAATAAAAACTTTTAAGTGTAATAGTTACCAAGTTCTGTTTGGTGAAAAATAAGCCCTGGACACTATATGTAGAAGAATGTAAAGATATGTTAGATGGTGACATGAGCAGGTAAGTGTATATTAGTAGTAGAGCTTAGCATGGGGTAGAGGTGAATATGAATTACCTTTATTTTAACAGGAAAAGATGTATCGCTAAGTTGTCTGCAGGAGTTTCCAAAGAGTATTTTTAAATGAACAAAATGAGCGTGAATCAAACTTTCAGTATAAGCTATGAATTTTTGTGGGGCTTTTGGGTGTTTTTCTGATGAAAAATAGTGTCACCAGTTAACACCTCTATAATTAAGGGCCTGTCACCATTCTCAACCCTGAGCCTTTATTTTTGAGGATGTATAACATGACTATATAAAGATACTGTAAGTGTGAAACTTAGTTTTGGAAAAAACCTCAGATAGCAGGGACTTCTCCTGAGGAGAGATTTTTTTGGGTTTTACTGTTTTGCATTTTTTAAAGCAATTTTTTCAAGCTGGGAATGAATCAGCAAAACAAACAGAAGATCCAAAAGTATTACTATTGCCATTTGTATTTCTTTTATGCTTCAGAAATAATTCTGTTTTAGGATGATGTAAAGAAGGAAAACTCTTAACCAAATCCCATTTTAAAAAACTGAAGCAGCAGAGGCAGAGATTTGAAATTTGCCACTGTAAATGTACATTTACTACTTTACATGAAGATATTATTATTTGAAAAACACAGAATTTTGTGGCTTGTTATGGGATACAGCCAAGTTTTAAAATACCAATTTTTAAAACACATTCAAAATTATATATATTCTGCTACACCAATAATTCAGCGATTAATAGGCCACTTATATTGTGCAATGACACAGTAGCTCCTAAAGCAGTGTATTGTGTCCAAGATAGGGATTTTAGTAGCATTTTTGCAATTTCATAATTTTCTTACCTTCCCTTCAGAAAAAAAAAAAATATACTAAATTTTCATAACTTGAATGATCTCACATAAAACCACAACAGCAAGGAAACTCAGAGTTTATTCTATTTCGGTTGTCTGCCACAATTGTATCCAGGTATTATAGCACATGGAGAATCACAGAATAAGCTTGAGTTGGAAGGGACCCTTCAGATCATCAAGTCCAACTCCTGGCCCTGCACAGGGCATCCCAAGAGTCACACCATGTGCCCAAGAGCATTGTCCAAATCCTCCTTGAACTCTTTCAGGCTTGGTGCTGTGACCACTTCCCTGGGGAGCCTGATTCACTGCCCAACCACCCTCGGGTGAAAAACCTTTTTCTGATACCCAACCTACACCTCCCCTAATTCAGCTTGAAGCCATTCCCTCAGGTCCTGTCACTGGTCACAAGAGCAAAGAGGACAGTGTTTGCCCCTCTGCTTCCCCTCACGAGGAAGTTGTAGACTGCAGTGAGGACCCCTCTCAGTCTCCCCCAGGCTGAACACCAAGTAATCCTAGCCACTCTTCATGTGGCTTCCCCTCAAGGCCCTGCTCCATCTTCACTGCTCTCCTTTGGGCACTCTCCAGTAGTTTCATGTCTTTTTCATATTGTGGCACCCAAAACTGCCCCCAGCACTGGAGGTGAGGCCACCCCAGGTCAGAGYAGAGTGGGACAATCCCATCCCTTGTCCGGCTGCCRATGCTGTGCCTGATGCCCTCCAGGACATGCTTGGCCCTCCTGGCTGCCAGGGCACTGCTGGCTCATGTTCAACTTGCCATCAGCCAGGACCCCCAGGTCCCTTTCTGTGCTGCTTTCCAGCATCTCATTCCTCAGTCTGTGCACACAACCAGATATGGTGCACTGAGTGCAAACTCCTGACATCTGTACCTTGCTACAGTATAAATGAGTGCAGAACAAATTATCTCTCCTTGCTTTTGTGTGTTTGTCACAGCTTTAATATTTGAATGTTTTATTCTTGTTGTAGAAACACTAAATGGCTTATACTGTATTTGGGTAGCACTGCTTAGTGGATACTGACAAACTGGGAATCCTTGAACTGCTCTAACATTAATTATGTTTTGTGATACTTATTTTAATTAAGACATTTCTGTTTTCTCATTTATTAGGAAACATACCATAGAGATGCTGTACTGTTGGCAATCAATATTAATTTGGATTTTTTTTTTAATTCTGCAAATGCATTGTTTGATGAAGTGGTTACAATTGTTTGAAATGCGAAAGTGTTTTGGGTAGTATTTTATACTGATGTATATATTGAAACAGAAATCATTGTAATAATTGTAATAGCTTTTAGTTTTAAATACACTATATGCAGACAGATGGGGCTGTACAGAACTGTGCTGTTAACACCCAGGCAGGGCTATTGCTTGGGAACAGGTTGCAGTGTCAGTGAACCATATGGATCAAATATTGTACCATTCAGTGTTGGCGGTCACCAATGCAAAAGGAGGAGACAATTTCAACATGATTAACACTACATGGTAAATTAGTACTACAGTGACCTTTTCAYTTACAAGCATGTTTTTTATACAAATTAGCAGGTGTGCCTGTGTAAAATAATTTGTGTTCTGTATCATGGAAAAAGTACTCTCCACATTTAGAATCACAGAATCATGTTGTATGTTAGAGAATTATGTCCAAAATTATACATATTACTTAACAATATTATTTTTAGATATGAGCATGACTGTAAGCTAGGTACTTAAGTACATTCTGTTACATTATTTTTCTTTATGTAATACTTTTTCAGTTGTTTTATTTGGTATAAATATATACTTTGTGCTTAAACATCTTTGTTTGTTTTTAACATTCAATAGTATGTAAAGATACGGTTTCCTTCAGTAAGATAGGTGCATTGAATTGTTGGAATGCCTACTGTAGTGCATCTGTTCTTGTCCCCCTTGTCACRACTTTTGTAGTCATAAACTCTAGTCCTGCAAATCTGGTATGCCAGCTCACCTGAGAGATGAGTCCCACTGACTTCAGTAAAGGCTTAATGTTAAAGTACATCTCTGTGTGCTTGCAGTAATGAAGAGACAGTGACTCTGGTGAGCATCATGCAGCTTGTGTAAAACAATACTTTAATTGCATATGGCACTATAGTGAGACCTGGTAACAGAACATCTGGATGTCTGCTAGAAAAAAGCATCCACTTTTTGCCAATAATTCTTGCCATGTTTGGATGGCAGATACATTTTTGGCTAACTCTTTTAAGTTTGTGCATTAATTTGTGGCAGACTATCAATAAAGACACACTATTTTCATTTCCAAGTTTTGACTTATGAATTGTGAAATATGTAATGACATACCTTGAAAGTGTCTGAGGATTTTAGTTCAAAATATCTTGACAGGTTTCATTAGTTTTATTTTTCTTTGTAACAGAAATTCTGAAAGATGGAGTTTTTTTAAAATGTAGTGCAATTTGGAAAGGCTAAAGTCATACACTGTTTGCTTTTAGCAGTTCCAGAGTTGTTACTATTCAGCACCAAATGCCCCAGCCCTGTGGAATTCAGCACATTTGTGTGTTTTCTTAGTTAAGTGTAYGGGGCTTATCTGTTTGCTTTGTACTTCTGAATTCATAGCCAGCTTTAGTCACCCAGTCCCTTTAAATTTAAATGTAATGTCACACCTTCCACCTGGGAGGAGGTGGCCAGTGCCAGGGAATCATAAGGCACCAGTTTTGTTTGCTGATAGCACTCTCATTTATAAGGTGGTGACATATTGCAGTAGTTGAAGTATGAATGACCTTCTGAGGCAGCCCTAAATAGACCATATTACTGCAAAACAGGATATTTGGTCCAGGTATTACAGGCGCACTTGGCAATTCACTTTGAAATATTTTCAACACTTAGTTAAAAATAAAAAGTGCTCATTTCAGTAAGCCAGAAATAATATGCTTCCAAGGAAGCAAATTCAAGTTACCAGCCAAAGAAAGCATTTTTCATCTTGGATCATCAACAGAATAATTATTTGAGATCAGGCTATGATCTGTACAGCACCTCTTGTTCATTCAGAGATAAACCGGGCCATTGATTTTATTTACAGTATCAGCATCCAGAGTTTATATGTTCCTGCTGAACAGTAAAGGTGTGCTYCTTGTCCCTTGTTACCACTTCTTACTGCTACCAGGAGTTATCTGCGCCCTCTAAGTTAGGTGTCATCAAAATAGGAAGATATCAGTACAGGATGATCTTGGTTGACATGAAATGRTGAAACCAATGTTAAATGGAAAATCAAATTGTCTTTAGAACAGAACCCAGAGCTTTGTACCAACAGCCATATCCAGTACTTAATGCCTCTTGAATAAAACAGCCAATGTGTTTTTCTCCAGGCAGTCTGGGAGCGTGTTGAGTGAGGAATGTATAAATACTGACATATCTGACAAAGCTACCTAATGCATTCTGTGGAAAACTCACTCTTTTTAGTTTTCTAGACATTCTCTGTATTTAATGCAGAGTTTGTAACAGTGAATACTACAAATCTACATTGTCACAGACTGGTATTATTTTCTCTATGTGTGAATGAAGTTGGTCACTCTGGTGATAGTACTAGTATTAGAAYACAGGAGGCAAAGTAATTTTATGGGATTTTCCTGTCTATTAGCAAGTGTTTGGGGGGAGCAGGGGGTTGTTTTGTTTTGCTTTTGAAGGGCATGGGTCAGGAGCAACCTGAGGCTTTTTCTTCAATGTTTTGCAACAGCAAACTAGAGCTYCACAAAAATGGTGCATTCGATCTCTCCCGAAAGGCTCTTTCTCCTCTTCCCATATGTTAATTCTGAGCTGCTCTAGTGTGTTTTAAATTATTTGTTGTATTTGCCATCTGTGAATTTTGCTTTCCTAACACTTAAAGACTGGAATGTAATGCTGGGTGCTGTTTGTCCCCAGAGGAAAGCAGCCTCCTTTCTGAAATCCAACTCCCATCCTGTTTGAAGTCTGCAATATAACACAGAAATTACAGTCTGACTCCAAGTGTGCTGCTGCCCAACTCCTGGTGCAGGATGGTTATCAGCAGGCATGATATTTTTGAGCGATGGTGGATTCCTGTACTTGTTTGAGAGTGGAAGATTTGGCTATGTCATTGCTTTGATTTCTGCAGCCAGCTCCCYAGCAGGAGCAGGGAGTGCCACAGTTCCTGTTGGAGGACTCCTACCCAGCACTTAACCTGATGTTAGCAGTGATGGGGTCTTTTTAAGCTGACAGGGTAATTCAGTCTTTCACCATTTCATTGTTAGGCATGCAAATTCAATTGTCTCAGCTTTCTTGACTGACAAGGGACCCTTTTCAGATTTCACCAAGCAATGTAATCCTTTCATACCCATCATTCACTGTTGGAAGTGTGACCCAGAGGCCTCTTAGAGGTTCAGCTGTAATCATGCACTTTCAAAGTCTGCAGTCAAAACGAGGTAACTGTTTATGTTTGTGTATGACAAAATCCCAGACCCACTTGTTAAAGCTCCCTGTCGCTGCAACCTGTACCTGCCACCCCCTTTATCTCTGCCCACAGGTGATTCTAGTAACCCTGGGGTTTAGATTTGTAATCACCAGTGTGTAAAAAACTGTGTGACTTCTTTATTTTTCAAATGTTTGTGTTTCACTTKAGACATGACTCTCCTTTTAAAGGTCTTTGTTCCTGTGAACAGCCTTTCAGRATCTGGTAATCTTTTTGTGGATATAGATTCTTCTAATTAATATGAATATGATAAACACCAATAGATCATTGAGAAATAGAAATTTCTCTTTGCAGCTTGGTGGCAAGAATGTTAGAAAACATGTTGCCCAAACAGTAGTATCAGCATCCAAGTTCTCATCCATATGCTAGCCATGGTTTGGGAAACAAGCTGGTTTTATATGAAAATCTGTGATTGCAGTAAGGCTCAAGTTCTTTACAATTCATCTCTGCTGCTGAAGTTTGCTWTTGCAATATATGGATTTTGCTTTATCATCCCCTTGAAAAAGTATTGGAGCCTGGTGAGGTCCATGAAAATGGAAAGGAAGCAGACATGTACTGCTGCTGCGTGCTTCTTAGCTGCTCTTTGGAAATGTCTTGCTTTGAAGGCGTCTGGTGCACTTGGCCCTTCACATTCGTTTGCATTTGATTTTCAGTGTCACTAATATCTAGCAGATGACCACATTATTGAACTGATTGCACTGGAGACACCTGAGACAGCATAAAGATGCTTTTTAAAATGTAGTCAGCTACAATCTACCTGGGTACACATTGYCCTGGATAAAGACAGCTCCCACTTTGTAATGGCACATCTGACTCTGCTACACCTTTGAGCGAGGCATTTTGCCCTTTCCCAGGAAAGCTGTGTACATGGTTTTACTTGTGTCATGGGAGCACTGAAATGTTAATGTTTGCAAAATGTTTTGAGAGTTAGGCATTAAATGCTTCCCATTAATTAATTCTCAAACTGTGTATTCCAGGGCTCTTCTACTCAATGATGTCCCCACATATGAATATAACTTTTGCAATGATATGTAAGGCATGTATCTGATTCTTCAAGTTTAAACCCAGAAATGCATTATCAAAAGGTAATGGTGCATATCAAATGGTGGTTTTCACCAGCATGTGGATACTCAGTAGGAAGGGTGAACTGACTCAAGTTAGCCCTCTTGTGCTGCTCACCAGTTAACTTCAATCCCCTTCTRTTTGGTAGAATAGACTGCACAGTTGCCATTGATAGATTAACRTGCACCAGTTCTTCCTTCTCTGAGAACTTTTGTGCCTAAGTCCTTAAGTTCTTAGTTATTTTTCAGATTGAATTTTCATGTTTAGCTGCTTCTGGGAAGCCAGACTAACCCTTTAGGTGTAAAAAAATACATTGATTGATCATGAATAAGAGGGAGGAAAAAATCTGTGTCTGTAATATGTATAATGATGCATCTTTGCATGCATTTGTGTGTGTGTCTATATATAGATACACTATATATAAACACTAATTTCCTGCCTAAAGACAGCTCAGTTTCTCATGAGCATTATTTGTTCTAGGCTTCACAAGGAAAAAAAAAACAGTAAAAGTGTCATCCCAATTACAAAGTCTGCATGGTTATTGCTTATTTTTAGCAATATTTAGGTTTTTAGGTATGACAAAGAATCATTTCAATCAGAAAACAAGAACACACATGTTATTCCATTGTGCTGCCTCTCAAGAAACCAGTCTTGAGTAGTCAGCTTTTGGGGACTTAAAGACACCTTGCACACAAAGAACCCCAAACCAAAGGCCTGGAGTAGAAGTAGGGTTGCCAATCTCTGCCCCCTGTGAGAGGGCAAGCTTTGCTTTTAAGCTGGGACTGAAGGGAAGTTGGCTGCAGGTCAGATTTGTCTGCCCTGGAGTTTACCTTTATGTTTAATGCATAATCCATGCTCTGCACCTTAGTGTGTGTGCATCCTGTAACTGCACAGTCACARGCGGCTCTGTGTGTGTGTCAGTGAGACAGAACTGGTACTTTGTGGAGCAAAATGTTTACTCATGACAGGGATTAGCCCTAATGGGTACCTAATACAAGAGGGTGCCATGTTCCACTGATATGTAGTACATACTGCGCTACTTGCTTGAGCTATTCTCTTGAAATWGACATTAAGATGTTTTTGGATTACTTCCCCATCCCCAAAATCCCATGACAGTTGTTGGGGTTTCTTTGGGTTTTGAAGATTTAAGCTGCCTCCATGGGTGGGCCCAAACTGTTTTAAAATGTATTAACATGGATTTACTCTGCACTTGAGTGTAACATTTCTGTGCCATGACTTCGTTGCTAGGTATGTCTTTGTTAGAGCAAGCAGCAGCACTGGAATATGAGATGACAAGTCCAGGCATTTGAAGCAGACTTGGGATACTTTTGAAGTTAGAAGTCTGGGAATCATGGGGTTAGGAAAGGCAGATCCTGCTTGATCAACCTGATCTCCTTTTTATGACCAGGTGACCTGCCTGGTGGATGAGGAAAAGGCTGTGGATGTTGTGTGCCYGGACTTCAGTAAAGCCTTTGAACCGTTTCCCACGGCATTCTCCTGGAGAAACTGGGCTGCTCATGGCTTGGTCAGGTGCACTGCTTGCTGGCTGGAAAACTGGCTGGATGGCCCAGCCCCCAGAGGGTTGATGGCTGGATTTACATTCAGSTGGGGGCCGGTCACAAGTGGTGTTTGCCTGGGCTCCGTGTTGGGGCCAGACCTGTTTAATGTCTTTATGGATGATCTGCAYGAGGGGATGGAGTGCCCCCTCAGCAACCCAGGGAAGTGKTGGAGTCACCATCCATGGAGGTGTTCCAGAAATTGCTGGACATGGCACTCAGTGCCATGGTCTAGTTGACACGGGGGTGTTCGGTCAAAGGTTGGACTCCATGATCTTGGAGGTTTTTCCCAAACACACGTTCTATGATTATGTGACCTTAGGCCTTGAATCAGCGTTTTGGACTCCGTGCTGTGCTTGCACTGGAACTAGCTTGGTACTGAAACAAAGAGGAGATTTTTATGTCCCRTAATAGGCAGACAGTGCTCTGACTGTTTCTAGAACTGACTCCAGTGGCTACTGTCTTAGGCTTTTCTTTTGTTTTTCTTTTTTTTTTTCCAATGTGTCATCTGTAAAAGTGGATGATATACTTCCTATGTTATCCAAATGCTCTGATCTCAGATGAGATTTACATTTTATGTATTTATATGAACTAATACTTTGCATATATTTGTGAACTGTATTTAGAAATACACACACAAAATTTGGAGGGGCTTTGAGTGTGCCATAAGACAAGATTAGACAGTGAAGTGTTTGGAGAAAAAATGGAGACAAACCAGAGGAGACAGATACACACAGATGTACTAAGAAGTAGTCAGCTGTAGGAATTGTAAATTAGGACCAACTAGCTCAGTAGATAAAATTGCTTTTGTGGCTCAGGAGAACAATACAAAATTGACAGATAAATGCATGTGGTCTCACGSGATGTACAAATTCAAATACAACAGACACAAAGGAATCCTATGCTGGCTCGTGTCAGAGAGTAGCTGGAGTGCTAATCAGACTTTTGGGTACAGCATTTGATGAAAGACAGGCACTCAACACGGTCCAGAGGCAAGCAATGATGATGAGGGAAATGTGAGAGAGGAAGATTAAAGTATATGGGCTGTTTATCTACAGAAAAGCTGACTAAATGGGGAAAGATGATCTTCAAGTAAAAGGCATGAATCTGTTATCCATGGAGCAAAAGATGAGGAGTTATGTTGGAGTAAAGYAAACTTTAGGCTAGGAAAATCTTTTACTCTTCTGGCTGTTTGGCTGGGGAGTCTGTGGAGGCTGTAGCAGCTCTATTGTGGCAGCATTAAAAGAACAAATTTGATGAGTATCTCTCAGAAATGGGGTGGAGCTGACCTGGCCTGGGGGTGGCTGGAACATTGAGCTGACCTCTGAGCTCCACTCCTGAGCACCAAGTCAAAGAACTGGKGCCGCTGCCAGAGCTCAAGGAGTGGGTTAGAAAATGCAGGTTCCTAGAGTTACAGATCAATGGACCCCTTTCTTACATCAGCTGGTAACCCCCATTGCTCCTGCAATTTGTTGTTAGCTAAGGTAAACACCTCAAAAAGGTCTAGTTCTGACCCTGCAATTTTGTCTGGTAATTACTTACAATGGACAATCATACTGATGGCTTAAAAATGCAAAAAAAAAAATAAAACCAAGAAAACTTACTTGCTAGTTCCATTTGTCCAACTTTGATTCTTTCTCTGCTTAAGATTCTTTGCTTTGGTACCTGCTCTTGTCTTCTGAAATATTGAAAATATTTGCATGCTTTAAATAAGGTCAACTGCTTTAATAAACTGGACTAAGTTTCCACTGTGGTAAGGGGCGCTTTGTTGCTCTCCATCTTCTAACTAAATGAACTGCATGTGTGCAATTTGTCTGTGAATTAACCCAGCAAGTCGAGTTCGAGTGTGGCCAAGATACAATAGATTGAGCACAGCTCCCATTTTAGTAGGAGAAAAACCTCCTGCAGAGAAGTAAAATCATCCTGAAAATCATCCAGCCTTTGTGGAAAAGATGTATTTTTGGCTGAAACTCTAGGGGAGAAGTACTGATGAGCTTGAAGCTAAGCCCAGATACCAGTCTTGGCAAAAACAAAAGCATCAAACTGGGTAAGAGGGGAAGAAATCCAGCCAAAGAAGTGTGTGGTCTTTTCTAATGGAACAGTCTTGCTTGCACGTTCTCTGGTGTAGAGCAGTGTGGTAAAAATGATGGCCTGCAGACTTACACATCATTTGTTTACTGGTATGTATTTCCCTTAAGGGAGTGGCATATTTCCCATCCTCTTCACCTCAAAACTTTCTCTCCACAACTTTTTTTTTTTCTTTTTTTCCTACTGAGGAAGGTCTCCCTTGTAGCTGACTTTCTGATGTTCGCACTTCTGCCCTTGAATAAATAAGCTTCAGAAGACTTGAAAGAGAATTTTTTGGAATATAAACATGTTTGGGAGCAATTTCAGTAAGTTAAGATGAAATGCTCTGTGTTTGGCTCAGGGTCATGAAAAAATTCACTGTACGTATTGCCAAGCAAGGACTATTTCATACACTGTTTTCCTGGCTGAATTCCWACCTGGCTATTTCATGTGCCCACCTAAAATTCCTCCTGTATGTTTGAATACAGAAGATGATCATCTTGCTTGTGCCCCATCTGGCCCTTCCAGCCTGCCCTGCTTTCCACAGGTGCCTGCTCTTGGGTGGGTAGGTGATAATTCCTATTATGTAAAATACTGCAGGCTCTCTCAGGATGAAAGGTGCTAAATGTATGCAAGTCATTTATTATTTTGCTCAGAGCCTGCATTGAAGGCATTCACAACCTGTTCTGACTTCTCCAAAACAGGTTTWAATGTGCACTAAGCCTGTTTGCCAGCACTGTTGTGCTGCCTTTTGTTTCTAAATTTACCCCGTTGCACAGCTGATTAGGGAGACAGGAAGCAACAYATATTGAAGCTTTCAGGAGACAGCCCCTCCCGTACTTCAGTGACCTAAATGCACWGCGAACAACATGTGAGAGGTGGGGTTTCAGGCCTGGGCATGCYGACTTAGGTGATACCATCAGAGAGTCTTTCACTTCCTTCAGAAGTTCACTAACTTTTTTTTTTTCTGTCAAATGATTTTTATTTTAAAATGCAGGCAAGGTAATGCTGCTGTTTCTTGCTGCCCTGCACAGGAGGGATGGGACTTTCAAGGGTTTGGGATCATCAGTGTCAGTCCTGGAATAGGTAAAGCAGCATTCTGGTGAGCTTGAAGTGTTKCTGGGAGTGGTTTTTGTTCATCTCCCTTATCATTTTGGCAAATGCCTTAAGGAGTATTGTCTCTCCCTTTTCTATTTTTGGAAAGAGGGATGGGAACACTTTGTTCCCTTCAAGTAGYGTTTGAGTCCAGTTAGCAGAAAACTCCTTAGCACCGTACTTATCTRTCTTGCACAAAAGACAGCACACCATCTTTCTGAGGTTATTAACTGCAGCTGATGCCACCAATCAGGATGCCTGATCTACAAAATGCAGTAATTTTCTTGATTCCCTGATATGGAAAACAAGAGATTAATAATGCAGCCATTTTATGCAAGCAAGTTTTTCTCGTTTGCTTTGCATGGAAAGGCAAAGCAAAACCTRTCATTTGTTCCTTCTGACTAGTGAGGTAGTCACGGTGAGTGGATGGGCAGGGGGATTGCACAGGATCACAAGCCAAGYCCTGAAACAGCGCACAAACTCCTGGCAAACCTCCTCCTTGTCTGTATTAATGGGTGAAATGGGTATAGTCCCTTTGCCACTGTGAAGGTAAATTGTTTTATCAAGCCATTTCAAGGTTTCTTTCACTTTATAAGCTGACAAGTCATTCTTGAAAGGCATCCA